TTCAAAGACTAGTTAATATTGAGTGAACGAACCATGGTTATTCTAGGGTATTAAGAAATGTGCAATGGAGTTGGAAGTTGAACAGGCTAAATCACACTCTACGAATACAGTTTTCATGATAATATGTACACATCAGGATGTGTCTGGCTAACAATACTTTCCCAATAAAGATATTCACTGTCTAAAGTAATACTTTGTTAAAGTACATTGCGCTATATGGGAAATGTCCATTTCAAATAAGCATCAAAAAATTACCACTGGTGAAATTTTTTTTGAAAATCAAATTATGTCCCTATGAGTAAAGAAACTTCTGAAAAGGGCAAATTAGATCACATCACTGAACACAAAATTATTGCCCGGTAAGGAAAGACCGAACCACAAGATGTGAAATTTCTGAAATATTTTTTAAAACTCCATGACTATGCCATCACAGAAGGGCTTGCTAGCAAGGGCTAATGCTGTGAATGAGAAAGCAAGTTAAGAAAAAAATAAATAAAGATGCCACACCGCCAAGATGTTTAGATATAAAAGGCCTTCACTACAAAACGAACCGCAAGGCTATGGTACCAAACATGCACACATGCACATACACACGTGTGTGAAACGGAAAAAAACACGCACAGCGTGTACACACGTGTACACACACACACGCACACTCTAGAGCAGATCGAGCAATTAAGGGACCTTAAAAAAAAAAAAAAACAACCCACGTGGCTTAGGCTTACCGAAATCTGTTACAGTCCTACGAAGCAGCGATTTTCAAAGCATCTGAAAAACGTGCAAATTGTCTGAAAACAGTGCCTGGCAACTGAGACAGTTTGCAAGCGTGATTCAGAGGTCTGCCAAGGAAACAAAAGAAGCCCCCCTCCTCCCCGAGAGACCTCACTAGGCAGCAGAGGTGCTCCGGGCACTATTTATTCTAAGGTAGGCGGAAAGCAGAAGTCTGTGCAGGAGCGGTACATACTAGGGATCGCTCTGTGGCAGAGACGGGGCCACCGAGTTTCCATTGGTTGGGGAGCCGCCCAGCTTTAGTTTCTCCAGATATTCGGCATGCACGGGCTTGTGGCACTGGAGAACCTTGATCGCATCTTCGATTTTGAACCACTCTCGCTTCCTCCCAATGCTAACCGAATCTTCCCAATCCTCCAGAATCTCTGTGACGGTCAGTACGTACACGTACGTTCTATGCTTGCGGTCTTGGTTCTGTTCGAAAATGCCCAGGAGCCGGCCTAACTTCCCCTTGACTCCCGCCTCTTCGAACACCTCTCGGACAGCCGCACTGCCCGGCTCCTCCTCGGGCTCCATGCCCCCGCCAGGCACGATCCAGCGGTCCGGGTACCGACTGCTACTCACTAACAGCACCTCGTCTTCGCGCTCGCTCCGGAAGCACAGGCACGCCGCCCGCTTCTTGAACCCCTCCGGGTCGTAGGTGCGCGTTTGGTTCGGCTTGCACTTCATCGTCACGGCCGTCCGCTCCCACCGCTCGCTGCTGCTGCTGCTGCTGCTGCTGCTGCTGCTGCTGCTGGGGTAGCTGTCGTCGCCGCCGCCGCCGCCGCCGCCGCCTCCCGAGGTGCCAGAGAGACAGGCAGGGAGGGCTGAGGAGAGGAGCAGCGAGAGAAAGCGCTCTGGCCGGGAGCCCCGGGTAGATGAGGCAGGGGGCGGGGGCGGGGATGGGGGCGGGCGAGGTACGTCAGTCAGTTCGTCCCCCGCGCGGCCTGAGGGTCTCGAGCGCAGCCGCCTGACTGGACAAGGCGCTGCCGCCCCCGCGCCCGCGCCCACGCCCGCGCCCGCGCCCGCGCTGGAGCCCGCGCGCCCGCTCCCGCGCCGCCGCCAGCGGGTCCGCCACCCCGCACAGAGCCCACCGGCGACTCCCGCGCGCCCCCCCCTTCCTCCTCAACCGCCGGGCAGGGGTTGAGCGAGGTGAGGCGCATTCGCGTGCGCGTTCGTGTCCCCATTCACGTGCGCGTTCACGTTGGAGGGCGAGGGGCGGGGGCGGGGGTCTCGTGGCTCCCGCAGCGCGCGCGGCAGCGCCGCGGGCCCACTGCGCAGGCGCCCCGCACCTCGCTGGCTGGGAATCTCCTGCCAGCGGGACTTCGGTTCGCCAATCCGCTGCTCCGTGACTGGGGCCGAGATCGTTTCCACGTGTGCCTTTTGAGTCGAGTCGCACTTGGCTGTGGCGCGGCCAGACGTTTCTCCTCACCCAGCCCAGCGGGTTGCGTGAAACACGTGCACATATTACCCGCGATAAGGTAAAGGGCATCATCACCGTCCTTAACAAATGGACAACCTCCCTTATGTTTTAGGAGGGCCCAGGGTTGTCAAAATGATCTTCAGCATTCCTGGCAAGCCAGTACGTAATCTTTGCTGAGTCATGGCAGGCCGTTTTATTTCTTCAACAGGTTCGTCCACCTTAAAGGTCAAACAGCCAGTTCGTTTATCAGCAAAATGGGGTTAGGGAATAGCAGAGGAAATGCGATTCGGGACGCGCAAAGGGTGGCACACCTTGGGCAAATCTGGAGATCCCAGCAGAGGAACCTTAAGGTGTAGGGAAAAGGAGGGAGCTGGGAGGGATTGCTGTGAAGGAAAAGTCCATTGGAGGAAAGCAACAGTTCAGGGTGATGCCAGTTTCTCGGTGCCAGTTTCTCCGTGGCAGAGTTGTGGTGTTTTCCTATTGGCTGAGCTTGTTGCTGGGGCAGGAGAAATTCCTCCTTCCTCCTGCTGGAGAAGGAAAGTAAACTTCTTCCTGCTCAGAATGCAAGGCACTGTTTTGTCCTTGTTGGGATCTGCAATTGACTGCAGGGGTAGGGTGTGAAAGCTCCCCCTGCTGGCCCATGGACTCCCATTTTAATAAGGTTTCCTTGGGGTGCTTGGGTGGCAAGGTCAGTTAAGCCTCCAACTGTTGATTTCCACTCAGATCTTGATCTCAAGGGGGTGAGATCGAGCCACAGTCTTGCTCCGGGCTGAGTGTAGAGACTGCTTAAGATTCTCTCTCTCTCCCTCTGCCCCCGCGCCCCCACCGCCACCCTCTCCCCCCCCCCAAAATGAGATTTCCTTTATTCAGGGTGGCAGGTTCTTCACCTTGCCTGACATGTTGGCACAGCCCATCACTTAACACTTTGCTTGAACCCAATTGACATCTTATCTGACTACCGGTCCTCAGTTTCCTATCAGTAAACTTCTCACCTTCTTGTTTCAGCCATTTGCACTTGGAGTCCTACTCACCCAACAGGTGCAGAACCACCCCAATTAGCTTTTTATTAAATGCCAACAGTCTCCACCCACTCCACGCTTCTCTCTCTTTCTCATTGAGAAGTACTGCTTGGGGTTTTGGAAAACATGCCTATGGAAATCCCTTCCCATTTTACAGTTTGATGTTGACAGGCTTTCTGGGGTGGGCCTCCAACAAGGCCGCTTGGTGCTCTGTCACCTCTCTGTGCGATCAAGCTGTCCTCTTGGCCAGAAAGTGTCCCCTCACAGCCAAAAATGTAACAACCCAAAGCCTTCCGCCACCTTTTCATTTTTTCTTATTGTTTTCCGCCTCTAACAGTTGCCTTATGGAGAAGACCTCTGATGTCCCCTAACTTTTGCAACTTAGGCATCTTTGTCTCTCTCTTGCCCCCAGACCCTCTGCTGGCATCAAGCAAGCTGGATCTTGAAAACTCAGGTTGCCGGTGAAAGAATCCCTGAATCAAAGGGAAACTGAATCTGAAATGTAAGTGCAAAGTCCTGAGGAAACATACAGCCCCATTTTTAAATAACAAGTGAGATCAGCTGCCCAGGGTCTGTTCTACTCCATTTATACCCAGAATAGCTCATACAAACGATCCTGTTCCCAGTGGCAACAGACACCTGCAATATCTAGAGCATATGACACAAGTGTGTGGGTTGCATATGAAGAAAACGATAGAAAGGAGACATAGAGAGAATGACTTCAACCAGTAGAGATACTACTACTACTGACCCTATTTTAAGGATATCTGGACGATGAGGGACCATTTGAAGGAATGTGACACCCCGTAATTAAAAACAAACTGGGAAAATAGATATTAGAAGGTTGTATTCCTCAGTGTGTCTAATAAACAAATACACCAGTGATGTTGAACAACTAGAAAAAAATTCCATCACAATCAAGATCTAGGCAAATAGACCTATTGTCCCCAATATTATTAAAGCTTGCTTTAGATGGTCTTTCCAGTGCAATTAGATTATAAAGAGAAAACATATTGTTTTAGCAAAGAAGACAACATTTCTATTATTTCCAAATGATAGTAATATATTCTTGGGGGAAAGTCTAAAGAATGATGTAAAAGTGAATTCCTTTAAATGGTAGAATGAAGTATTAACATTTAAAATACCAAAGCTTTTGTGTATGCCAGTAGTAATCCTATAGAAAGAAAATATAATGGGGAGACGCTGGCATTCACAGTAGCAGTATCAGCCACCACACAATAAGTAAAATACCAAGGGATCGTGAACATCGTAGGTAAAGACACTGTAGTAGGAAAGGATAGAACTTGGACTCAGCTTTGAAAGATGATTTGAATGAATCAAGAGGAACTCTAGCAAAGCTGGGAGATTGGGCTGGTGTCTGCGGGAAGGGGTGGCCCAACCAGGCCCCAGCCACCTCACAAGTTCCTTCACAATTCCCAGTACCTATCTCCTTGTCTCACCAGACGTGCCACTTTCTCGTCTGGTCCGTCACTTGCACATCAGAGTAGGCCTATGCAGTGGGCTTCTGCTGGAGGCATATCTTTTGGAAGGGAGAGGAAGAGCAACATTATAGTATGGAAAGAGGTACAGGCTGGGTTCCTACTGGTAAAGTCATAGCACATTTCTGGATAAAGAGATCCACAGCTTACAGCTTTAGTACAATGCCAGGATACTTTCAAATTGACTTTTTTTTTAGAATTCCACACATTGATTTTATTCTTCACCTGTTAGAGAATAGGGCAAGATAGCTTTAATTTTTTTCTATAGAAGAATAAAAATCATTTTTGAGAGACTGCATTCTAATATCTGGTGTACCCACAGTAAACTGTTTTTCTAATGATAAGCATGGCTATTTCACAAACTATTTTAACAGTAGACTGTTACAGTAACAACTAATATGTGAATGCCTGCCTGTATCTCCTCCCACATTGTCCTTGGCCTTGACAAGGGAATTTGCTAGGTCCAATGGAACAATAGCAAGTGTGAAGCAAGCAGAGAATTGAAAAGTGCCTGCACAGCAGAGTTTGCCCTCTCTTGCTGCTCTTGACACAAGATAGCAAGGTAAAGAAGCATGAGTCAGGTGGGTGAGGAGAGACCCGGGGCCCATGCCTCCCCTTCACCATTGCTGACAGTGAACCAGTTGCCAGAAATATGGGTGAGACCAGGACAGTGAACTTGCCCTGGGGATCATAAGGAAAGGAATGAATTAAAACCTGTGATCCTTGTTGAAGACAGTCTGTGTGCCAAGCCCTGTGTTGATCTCTTTAACTGACAGCCCATTAAATCTTAAAGAGGAGGTTACTGTTTGCAGTGCATAAAAGAGTTAGAGTGCAGTTTGTATTTGATTTCAAGTCTTCATGTCGATACAGCCTGTGCACTCACAACATCACCATGTCTTATCAAAAGGATTATTTTTGTCAAGAGCTATGGTTTGTTGTGTCACTTTTTTTGATGATGTTCAGAGCTGACTTCTTATGTAAGGTGTTCATTTGCTAAGAGTCACTGGGTTCAAAGAAAGTTGTTTTCCATCTGGATGCTCTTCTCCCGCACAGGATAGGGAATAGAACACCCGAGTGCCTACCTCACTCCCACCAATCAAGTGTGTCACCTCAACATGTTCCTTGACAACTTGAAGTTCAATAACTTCTGCACACAGGAGTGCGGAATTAAGTGATACAGAAGAGAAGATGTTCTATTTTGTCATCACTCAAGACATTGCTTTTGATTTACTGACGGTGTGATTGTTTTTACACACTTAATATTTCTCTACCAACAAACCTGAACAATGAGTATCCAAACCTCCCTTCAACAGATTAAGAAACAGGCTGAGATGGTTAAGTAAGACAGTAAGTGAGGGAGCTGAGGTTCACACCTTGGTCTGTCTGACTCCAGAGGTAATCCCCTTCCTTTCACTGTGACAAATTTCATGTATGTTGAGAGTTGCTGAGATGCACAGTACATGCCATTCCTGTGGTACAGACTTCCTCCTCTCTCCTTTTTTGTCCTACCAGGAAGACCCAGGCACCCAGGAGAACATAGCTTCTCTGCAGTGTTTTAACGCTGGGGGCATCTGCTCTGAGACCAACAGTCCGATACATATTTCTGCCTTTTTTCTTGGTTAGGAGGGAGCCAGGCAGATGGGAAAGTACAGCAACATGAGAAACATCGTTGTGGGAAGTCGAGCACCTTACTTAGTGAGATGGTAGATTACAATTCTAAGAGAGAGGAGCTGTTTCCTGGGATAGAGAATGTTACAGACATTCCCAGAGCCTTTTAGTATCCACAGCTGGAA